TATTTCAACAAGAGCCCAGAGCTTAGGGATATGCCATATGGTTGCGAAAAAACAAAGAATATCAACACTTATGGGCTTCCAGCATCTCCAGAAAAAGTGTGATTAACAACATTCCTATAGCACTGAACAACTGCTTTCCACCTAAGCTACGATAAATAATTCTGTAATGAATATCTTTTAGTACAAAAATCTTTATTTTCATTTCTAATTATCTCCTTTTCAAGAATACAAGAATACATGAACAAAGCTGGGCACTGTGGCGCACACCTATAATCCCAGCAGCTTGGGAAGCTGACGCAGGAGGATCATGAGTTCAAAGCTAGCCTCATCAAGTTAAAGAGGTTCCAGGCAACTTAGCAAGGTCCTGTCTCAAAAATAAATAAATAAAAAGAGCCGGGGATGTGGCTCAGTAGTTAAGCACCTCTTGGCTCAATACCTGGTATTAAAAAAAAAAAAAAAAACTTGAACAGAAATTAGATCAAAGACTATAAACCATTTAGAAATCCTTTTTCCTGATTTTTTTTTTTTAATGCTAAGGATTCAAACCCAGGACCTCAAGCAAGCTAAATGTACATTCTACCACTGAGCTACACTCCCAGCCCCTTTTCTTGATTACAATGCATATTCATTGTAGAAAATATTTTTAAAAATTAATAAGGAGCTGGGTGTAGTGTTATGCATGCCTATAGCTCCAGCCACTCAAAAGAGACTTAGGTAGGACTGCCTGTGTCAAGGCATTCAAGCCCATCATGAGCAACATAGTGAAACCCCACTTTAAAAAAAAAAAAAAAAAGGAAAGAGGAAAGGAGGTAAAAATAAATCTTGATATGGTCACAAAGTGGTAACTACCTGTAACATTTTGATGTATTTCCTCCCACATATATACTTAAAACCACAAGACACTATACATCTTTTGTAACCTTTTTCCTTTTAACATTGTAAACATTTACCCAAATTACATGGAATACAGCATAATTTACCTAATGCAGTCTCTGTAAAACAGCCATTTAAATTGTTTACATTTTATATATATATATATATATATATATATATATATAAATATATATATACACACACATATATATATATATAAATATAAATATATACATACACACACACACACATATATATATATATAATACTGCTATATTGAAAGTAAAAAATCTGAAAACCAGATATCCTAAACAGAAGATGAGAAGAGAAACAATGAGATGGCCCCTCACCCCTGACTGCTTGACCTTCACACCTGCAAAGCCCAGACAAACACCACAAGCACCAACCAATTTGCAGAAATGATGTGAAGCTCTCCTCAGAATCTGAGAAAGGCTACAAAACCGGAATGACTGGAAATGAACAGTTCTCTACACAAGTTTGATAAATGTTCTTTGTTGGCAGGTCAATGAAGAGCAAAATCCTTCAGGTTACCTTTGTCAACAAGAAGGAAAACATGACAGCTTAGTGTCATGACAAGTGCACACTGTCTGCCCCTGCATACCAAGGCCTGAGTGACCCAGAGGCTAAGTGCCCTGGATACCTTACAGATGGAAGGATAAACCAGACATAAAATGACCTTCACAGGACAAGCCGTAATTCAAAACCAATAAGGTCAAAGTGAAGGAGCAAGTGCAGAGACCTGGGGACAAAAGTCCAGCCCAGTAGCATGGAGGATAGTCACAGGTTTTGATGACCTATGATATGGCTGCTAGCTCAAGTGCCATGCACTCAGGCAGCAACAAGGAAAGTATATGACCAGATGCAACATGCCCTGCTCAAGAAGCCCCCTCAGGGTCCATGCCTAGGGCTCCAGACACCAATGGGGGACAGTGTCCAGGCGACTAACAGGAGGCATGCACGTCAGATGGTCCATACCAAATGAGCAGAGGACAGTCAGGTGCTGTATCTGGGAAAGGGATATCTACACAACTGTCCCAAACAAGAAAGAACATGTCCTGACAGGCAACACTGGAACCACCTGGGCCACTGGGCTGCCTCTGAAGGAAGGGGCTATGGGGAAGATGACTACCACCTGTCAGGAATGCTGTTACAACTCCTCTCTATGGGCTGGCCTGCATTCACTTTCCTGCCCACCCTGAACATGCCCCACCACCTCCAGCAGTCCACACTGAGTTCCTCAATCCCAGGCCCCAAGTCCTGCATACCACAGAAGTCTCCCTCTCATTTTACACTTGCATATGGCAGAAGAAGCATCACTGTATTCCTTCTATTGCTGGCCAATGACAGTGCAGATGTCCCCACCTAGACCCTCAGCTCTTGCAGGTCAGGCCTCAGATGACTGTCTGCACCTGCACTGTGCATCATGCTCTCGTGCTGCAGAGGGAGGATTGATGGGATTTTATAAGGTCAGTGCCCTCTCAGAGACAGTGAACCTCTATCTGGAAAGACTTGGTGAAGGCCTCCATCTCTCTTGGATTGGATGATACTGATCTGGAGAGCTGAGCAGAGAAGCAGATGCACCTATGCCCAGATAGGAATAAGAGCAGTGCTTGTGCCTAAGTGCTCACAGGAATGGGAATCCTCCAGTTCTCAGTCTTCTCACTCACCCACCTTCTTTCTAACCACTCATGTACACACTCCTTGGGCACAACAAGCCCTGAAAAGCTGCCTTCCAGGGTTCACTCTCTTCTCAGCCCAAAGCCTGAGCATGCCAGCAGGGATGAGCTGGCAGCCAGGCTTGAGAACCAGGCCAAGCACAAAGGCTTCTCCAGGCTTCTCAACACGGCACAAATTCAGTTTACCTACATTAGATGCAAACATCATCCACCTTAACTTCGTGGGAAACATTTTCTTATGAGATGGTTTGTGTTGATAAGCTTCAATTTCAAGTGAAGAGCTGAAACTCTCTTCACCAAAGAGGAAGGCGCATAGAGAGAAAATTTAGATTTAAAATTAAGGGCTAGGAAATAAATAAATAAAATAAAATTAAGGCTAGGGTGTAGCTCAGTGATTAAGCATTTGCCTAGCATGCTCAAAGCCCTGGGTTCCATCCCCAGCACTGCAAAAATGATAACGATAAATAATGATGATGATGACAATTAAATAAAGCATGAAAGCATGGGTCCAGGACAGCCTAATGGCTGAAGGTAAGTTAAAAAGGTAAAAGTAAAAAGAAACACAACCATGACGAATGGAGTTGTGTAAAAAGGCAGGAGCTGGGCTATCTTGAAAAATGCCTCCTTAGGGAAGGGGGGTGGACATGTGCCTGTTGGGGACAATGGAGAGAGATCCAAGTGTCAGAGGTAACTGCACAGAAGCCTCTGTTCTTCTAACCCTGGGTGTGCTTTTGCTCCAAGTCTAGAACTTGCTCCTTCATCTACCACTACTTTTGAAACTTAATACATCAGCTTCCATTAGAAGGGGAAGCTTTAGGTTAGCCTTATCCATTATTAACTCACCTAAAGGTCATAAGTAGAACCTGTGGTCTCAGTTCTTTAATTCCCCAATTATGCTAATGGGTAACAAAATACAAGGATAGAATCATGGGCCAGTTGCCTACTCCAGAACCTGCACCATTCGTGAACAGCTGCTGTAATGGGGCAGGACCTTAACTGCTCTGAGTTCTGCTTGCTTCACCTGACCAAGGGGCTGATAGGTATCACTGGCAAGGCATAACTTGTCTGGCTCCCTCTCAATTGATCTTTCCCGAAAAGCCAAAAAGCAAATTCTATTCCTAGTTCCACTTTACAAATGCAGGCACTGAGCCTCCCCATACGGTGGCAAAACTGGGAATGGTCCCAGCTCCCTGTGCTTCTAAGTCCCGCTCTAAATCTTCCCTATCTGGCATCTTTCTCCCTCCTACCCACCACGTTCCTGCCGGGTTGTACCAAAGATGTCAAAGAATTCTGGGCCACAAATCCAAAGGCTTCTCTTCCTGTATCCACCTCCTTGAAAGTCTTCACTGCAGTTTCTGAAACTCACTGAATCAGGAAACTTTAAATTCTAAAAGACTCCGGAGGCGAACCTGTAGGCAGTACCCGGTTATTAACAGCAGCAGGGAGAACAGCAGTACCTTCGTTTCATGAGGCTGAATTCCCTCCGTGCCTGGAGCGACAGCATCCTAGGCACTTCCCCCCCTGTGCTGCCCAGGCCTGGTCCCGACTTGGCCTACACCCCTTGGCAGCCTGGGAGTCGGGCGAGGCCAGAGGCTGCACTGCGTGAGGCCTCTCGGCAGCGACCCGGCATGGTGGGGGAGGGCTCAGAACCCACGCCGGGGACTAGGAGATACTTGGGATATGGGGGACCGAGAAGAGGGGGAAACTGAAAGGGACGGGGGCCCAACGGCGGTAGTGGCACTGGAGGCAGGACCGGGGACCAAGCGGGGACGGGATCCAGAGGGATGAGGGACCGACATGGGGTCTGGGGGATGACTGGAGACCGAACTAGGGAGGGTGCTGGTGGGTATGCGGGAATGAACTGAAGAGTTGCTAGAGGGATGAAGGACCCAAAATGGGGAGATGCTAGCGGATATGGGGATGCCCGGAAAACCCGGGCCCTCGGGTAAGGCCCTGAACCGCGCCGCCCGACTGCAGCTCACCTGCGCGTGGGCCACCACCAGGCTCTTGTTCCCTTCTCCGTGGTACCTCCATTCATTCTCGTCCATCTTCCCTTCTTCCATGCCCCGGCGCGGCCCTGGAGCCTCGCAGTCCGGGACGTGAGGACGCGAGCTGGGGGCCACCCACCTCGCCCGGCTCCAGTGGCCGCAGTCTGAGGAGGAGCGCCTGTCAGCCGCCTCCTGCGGTCGACTCCTCCACGGCTACTCGTAGGCGCGGGCCGCCGGAAGCCACGCCCCCGGAGACTGCCATGACCAAGCCGGGCAACTTCCGGGATCCCGCCCACTTCACCTCTCTGACCGCAGCAGTGAATGAGCCAACGGCCATCTTAAGTATTGGCAGAGTGACTCACTTCCGAAGCGCGGTCTTGGGAACCGGAAGGGAGGTTTCCGGCCCGAGCGCCGGATGTGAGGCTGGCCAGAATGACCGGCGGCTGCTCGGCGCCCGGGACCCCTCGGCAGTGTCTTGTCTCAGCGTTTGGCGTCTTGGGGCTCCGGACCGCTTGACGGTGGGACCCCAGCAAGGTGCTTGGCGTCTCTGAGCCTCATCTTTCGCTTCTGTAGAATGGAATATGACCCATTGCACCCTCACGGGATTACCAGACGCAGAGCATCCGTTGGTCCCGTGAGGTAAAAACGTTGTCATCCTCGCTTTCCACGCGGGAAAACATGGCACGGCAAAGCGAGAGACACCCCCCACCCTTCCCTGGTGACGCTTTTTGCCCGCGGACCTCCAGGGACAGAGGTGAGGCGAAGGAAATTGGCCCTAGGCTTATTCCCTAGGGCGGAGGAGTGAATGTCACCGCCTCGCAGAGCCGCTGTGAGGCTCACGTGTCCTCAGTCTCAGGATCACTTGATGCTCCTAGCAGTGATTGAGGGGCCAGAGGCTTTTGCTGATATGGGTTATAGTTAAATTAAAACAAGAAGTTTGACTGGCGTGGTCGCGCACGCCTCTAGTTCCATTGACTTGGGAAGGTGCGGCAGGAGGATCCCAAGTTCGAGGACAGCCTACGCAACTTAGTGACCCTGTCTCAAAAGGGGGAAAATGTAATACGTGGTAAAGCGCCCCTGGGTTAATTCCCCAGTACTCCCCTCAAATGTTTAGCCGTATTTTTTAATTTAAAAACGAACATATTATATGTAATTAGTAGATAAATTTAATATCCCGAAAATAAAGAAGAGTGATGGTGTTTTACATTTTTTTGCAACTCTTTTTAAAGCTTAGTGGATAGTAACGGGATTCTCAGATCTGCATTAGGTTTGCTGCAATGTTAAAGGTTGCTTTGGTTGACGTATATGAAGAAAATCGAGCCTAATGCAGATATGTGATTCATAAAAGTAGGACCGTCAGACCTAGTCTTGAGAATGGCTTACTGAGAGCCTCTCTGGGAACCTGCCAGGCTTTGGGAATAACAGCGAAATGACGCTAGATCATCAGGAAAATGATCTAACAGCTTCAAGCATCTCTTTTTCCTCTAGCTTGGGATAAAGGGGAGGCCAGGTGGGAGGCTGTTTAGAATCCTCTGCAGGAAAGTTTCAGAAATGGTAGTAATAGCCACTCCTGGAGGTAAACAGACCCCAAAGGGGTGGAGGGAACAAGCACAGGACAGTGAGAAGACATTAAAGTTCACCAAGGCCTGACTTCCCACACCTACAAGGCCAGGAGACCCTAAACATGAAAGGAGAGCTGGAGTCAGAATCATACTAAGTATCAATACCACATTAAGTCTTAAAATATTTGCTTGAGGAAACCTCTGTGGTGCTGGAAACATTCTACATCTTTACCACCACCACCACCACCCCCAAGGAGGAGTGTTTATCACAAAGTATCAGCCATAGGAATGGGGGACATCAGTTTTTTGGTTTGGGTGTTTTTTGTTTGTTTGTTTTGTTTTGATGCCTTTGCCCCACATCCCCTCCTTTTCAAAACACCGACACAGGCTTTGTATGGGAAGCACCATTCCTCTATTCAGTTTATGTAATCTGATTTACCTGGGCTTAATTCCTACTCTCAAGGCTGGGCTTGTGACTTTGACACAGGCAGCCAGGAATTACATTCCCTGGAAATTACATAAAGGGGTTGGTTCAGGAGGTACAGGGAGGTGATACACAGGATCCTGTGAAGCTCACTCCTGTGGCTTACACTGACCTGAGGGGGAGAAGCACTTTCAGCTGGCTGACAGAACAGCCTCATTAGCTTATGCTGCCAGTAGTGTCCCAGGCAGCATAGGTGAATCAACAGGAAACAGCTGGGAAATAGCAAGTACTTTGTTGACCAGATTGCTTTAAAGCTTCTGAGCCAATGAATTCCATCTTTTGCTTAAGACAGTGTAAGCTGGATTCTTTTTACTCCCAACTTATAAGTCCAAACCAGGAACAAGAGTATACTGGATCACCTCCTCAGGTGGATATTGGAAGCAAAGACTGAATGCGTATTATTAAATAGGATTCCTACATAAGAAGTGTATGAACTGAATTTTAGGTCCCCCAGAAATTCTTATGCAGAAGGGCAAACAACAATGTGATGGTATTTAGAGGTGGACTTTTTGCAAAGTCATGAAGGTGGAACCCCTGTGAAGCAATTAGTACCCAGCAAGAAGGCAGCCCTCATCAGAACCCAACCATGCTGGCACTCTGATCTCAGAATTATAGCCATCAGACTGGCACCCTGAGGACAGGAATACAGCTTATATAGACAAAAGGGTGGCTCCTGCAGGCACAGTCAACTGGTGACCACAGACTGTCTGCACCATAATGCTAACCATGGTGATCTACACGTGTGTGAAGTCCATCTGTACTCAGCTCTCATGTTTGGGGAAGAGAAATTCCCAGCAAGTTCAAAGGGAAGATGGCAGCCATGTGCCATGTATGCCTCTAAACTGGCTGCAGCTGAAGTGGCAGTTGCCACAGCCTTGATGACAGCCACAGAGGCTGGACCAAGGCTTCTGGAGTGGCAACAACGAGAGAAATGACCTCCAGCGCAGCAGCTGCTGAGCAGTAGGTTGCTGTAGAAAGAGTGAAAGCCACGATGGGCACAGGGGCTGCAAAGGTGGCATAAGTGGTGCCCTGATCCCGTCCCTACCCTACCTACACCTTGTCCACAGAACTGGTGAGGCCATGTAGCTATCCCCAGGGGCAACAGTGGGGACTGTGAGTCAAGTGGTGCCTGCTCTTATTGGTCCCAGGTTGCTTTGGCCAACTGCAAAAACAACCTTTGAAAACAAAGGAGAAAAACAGAAAAACACCTTTTGGGTTGGGTCAGGCCCTTTGTATTCTAATCTCATTTCCCCCTTACGAGATTTTTATCCTCTTTAATCTCTCCCTTTCTTCCCCCTACTCCTTACTGGAGGCTTCACCACTGAGCTATATCCCCAGCCCTTTTATTTTGAGAAGGGGTCCCACTAAGTTGCCAAGGCTGGCCTTTAACTTGTAATGTTCCTACCTCAGGCTCTTGGGGTGACAGGCCTGCACCACTACTCCAGCTCTCCTTAATCTTTTTTTTTTTTTAATGTTTTTTTAGTTGTTGATGTACCTTTATTTAATTAATTTATTTATATGTGGTGTTGAGAATTGAACACAGTGCCTAGGCAAGCGCTCTACCACTGACCCACAACCCAGCCCCTCTCCTTAATCTTAAGGAGTCAGGATGAAGGTCTTTATCTTCCGTTAACTATTTACAGCTGACAACAGGCATGGACCCTATGGGTCCCTGGAGGCATTAAAAATCTCCCACTGACTGTTCTCATGACCTATAGGACCTGATTCTTCCACTAAAGGGAAACCATGCATAAATATCAGTTTGACCATGAACTGCTATAACTTGGAAGACACAACTTTACCAAAAGGTTAAAAACATGAGAAGCAAGTGTAGTGGTACTCTCCATGCTCTCTCCCTTCTTGGTCCCTGATGTACTTTCTTTGGAGCAGTGCCCACCTTGATCTTCCCAACATCCCCCCTCTTTTAGCTGCTTAGTTATATGCTCTGCTCTTTTTCATTTTTCTTACCCAGTAGACCACTTTTTCTCCTGTGCCCAGCTAATCATTTTCCTTGTTTTCCTGCTCTACTGGGTCATGAAGAACAGTTATATATTTCCCCATCTGCCATTCTTTGAGCTGCCATCTGTGAATCATGTGGCTGATTCATTAGTGCTCTTGTGTGCAATCCATTCTTGTCCTCCATATTCACTGTCCATGACATATAGTGATATTTGCATAGACAGACTATACCAAATCTACACATTCTACCTAGCAGCCCATGCTCACAACTCTTTGGCCACAGGCTATGGATACTTTTTGAAACTATCCATGGCTCCCTACAACCTTTCAGATGTCCTTTCACATCCTTTCTTTTACACTTGTCTGAAAACAGTCCCGGGAAACATCTGCATCTGATTCTCCTACCCCTGTCCTTGCATGTCCAACCTGACTTGCTACTGGGTCTCACCACTCTCTCCCTGAGTATTCCCACCCATCCTAACCTCTCTTTCTTCTCCCTCATTAGCTCTCATCTCTTTTTAGGAGCTCTCTTTCAACACTGGCTCCAGTCCTCTCTGCTCCTACATTCTCTGTGGACAACCGACCCACTGAACTCTAGATAGATGCCACCGGTGTGGTTGGAGACTGCTGGACTTGTCAGCATCTCTCCCTGACACTGGTCACTGGTGCCTTCCTTTAACTGGTGCCTTCCACAATGCTCAGAGTCCCTTTTCAGATCTAGTCTGACTCTCTGTGCTTTACATTAAAACCAATTATCCCATCCTTTGGGGTATTCACTCCCTTTCAACTGCCCTTGCTGTCTTCCTCTAAAAAGACTCAACTATCTATTCTGAAAATCTTCTCAGCTATTACCTGTCTTTAGTTATTTTCTTACCTCAAAATTTCTAGAACAAATAGCCTAAAAGTGTTAACTATCTTTACTATCTGCTCATTTCTCAATCTGGTTTTCATTACAACTTCCACCCTCCAAATTTAGTCAGGAGTCTCTTTGGATGTCTGCTGTGCAACACAAATTTAACACTGAAACTGAAATGGTGAGCAATAGAAATGAGAGGAAGAAAAGGTGATGAAAGAATAGAGGACACAAACAAGGGGTGTGGTGTTTTTTGGGTGGGGAAAGCTACACAGGGAGAGCCAGACAGAACTCTCCATTCATAGTTGACAGAAGCAAAGATTCTGGCAGCCACTTATCCGCAAGACATGCCAATCACCACTGTTGTTGGTCCTCTTGTTCAGGATACTCCCTTAGTAGTTGCTAATGATGTTACCAATCAGCTGAGGGTTTTTTCGTTTGTTTGTTTTGCTCAACTTGGATAGAAATCATGAAAAGGCAAAGTACAGTTCCCTTTAGTGTTATCAGCTCCAGCTCTTATTAGTGTTAACAGTGGAGCAGCAATGGCTAAATCAGCGGTTGCTGCAAGGACAACCACACAATCAAGGGAGCTGCGTAGCTGGCCAATTCCTTCCCTACTTGCTCATCACGCAGAGCTAGTGTGGCCACTTGGCTGTGTGCTAGGGCAGCAGTGGTAGCTGTCAGTTGAATGGCCATGCACAATGGCACCTCCCGGTGATCCCAGGTGGCCTCAGCTATCTACAAAAATTATGTACACACCAAAGAAATAAAAAATTTAAAAAAAGAAAAACCTGTATGCAGCAAAATTATCCTTCAAAAGTAAAGGAGTATCCCATTAGCATGTAGAACTTTTGTTTTTGCATTTAAGGTTTTTTTTTGTTGTTGTTGTTGTTGTT